TTCACCATGATGCAGAAAGGTTACTGGAAGACGGTCCCTGGACCTAGACTGCTCAAGTTGATAACTGCAGTCTCTGCCGTGGCCATTTCCTATGAGGGCATGAGTCAGGGTGTCATGGGCGCTGTCAATGTCGCCCCAGAATATGGAGTATGTACCGCAGCCCTCCTGAGCCATTGTCCCCAAAGAAAATCGGAATCGTGAACTAACCGAATATCACAACTGCAGCATCGTATGGGCTTCGCCGATGAGCATGGAAAAGTCATCAAGCCCTCTCTGCAGGGTGGCATCGCTGCCATGTACTACTTCGCTGCTCTCTTGGGGGCCTTCTGGGCCGGTAGTTTCTCCGACGCCTACGGGCGTATCAAGGGTATCTGGCTGGCCTGCGTCTGGTGTCTTGTCGGAGCCATCCTGCAGGCTAGCGCCGTGAACCTCGCTCACATGCTCATCGCCCGTGTCGTCGCGGGTGTCGGTGTCTCCTTCATTATCGTTATTGCTCCCTCGTGGACCGCAGAGCTGGCTCCAGCGGCACATCGAGGTCAAATGATCGCCCTGACTTTCCTTGCCAACTTTGGGGGCATTGCCTTGTCTTCCTGGATTGGATTCGCTACCTCCTTCACTGATTACGCCGGTGGTGCCTTTCGATGGCGCTTCTGCTTTGCCTGCCAAGTGATCCCGATTTTCTTCCTCGTCATCGGCACCCTGCTCATTCCTGAATCGCCTCGATGGCTCGTCAAGGTCGGACGCAACGAGGAGGCATTCGAGATTATCACCAAGCTCCGTGGAGATGGCGACTGCGACCACCCGGATGTGCAGAAAGAAATTCGCGAGATCGTCGCCGTCGTGCAGATGGAACAGGAGTCGCAGAACTCCAGCTATATCAAAATGTTCTTGGGCATTGGATCGGGGGATATTCACATTGGACGCCGTATCCAGCTGGCCTTCTGGCTCCAGGTTCTGATGCAATACGGCACGGGTATCGCGGCAGTTGTCATCTACTCGGGTAACATCTATCGCACTGCTGGCTTTGATGAGTTCAAGTCCAACTGGCTGTCTGCCCTGTGCATGACCTGCGGTATTCTGGGAACTGGTATCGCTGCCTTGACCTTGGACCGAGTGGGTCGTCGCAGGACCCTCTACTGGGGAGCGGTCGTTTTGAGTATTATTCTTTTTACCCTGTGAGTACAGAACCATTTTGTCCTTGACGTGGCTCCTGCTGACTTTCCTCTAGTGGTGGTCTGAACCGTGGAGCCGTCGATAACCCCGACAAGGCTGCACAGTACGGAACCGGAGCCGCCGCCATGGTCTTCCTCTACGTGGTTGTCTTCAGCTCCTCCTGGCTGATGATTCCTTTCATTTATCCGACCGAGATCTTCCCAACATGGCTGCGCGCCAAGGGTAATGCCTTCGGTGTTGCGGGTTGGGCGGTAGGCTACGGCGCTGGGTCGCTGCTAGTCCCGGTCATGTTTGCCGGTATCCAGGAGAAGGTTAGCTCTATCCTCCCTTTCCCATATTTTCATTTCTGACTTCTTTTTTCTCAGACATTTTACGTCTTCGGTACCGCCATGCTCGTCTACATCCCCATCATCTACTGTTTCTTCCCCGAGACTGCCGGCCGCACGCTCGAGCAGATCGACTTCCTGTTCGCCAGCAAGAGCCCCTTCGTGTGGGATGAGGAGGAGGAGTTTGCCAAGCGCATGACTCACTTCAATGCTGAAATCCAAAAGATGGAGATTGAGAATGGTGGATATGCGGGCGGTGAGAAGAGATGTGAGGAGTTTGTCGAGAAGGTCTGATCGTGGAGATGGCTGGTCGCAAGCCAAACCACGGCTATTATCTATGAAGTAATGACGTACAACATATTACGTTTATGTATCAAGTTGAGCTATATACATGTGTATTATGAAATGTATCATCTTATAAGTCTGCCATGTTGTAAGGCCTGCCTGGCCTTTACTTTATATAAAGGGGTTATTAGCATTAAGTCTATTAGTATTACAATAATCTGTAACTTCCTGGGGTATATTATCTAGAGTTTAAGTAGGGTTACAGTGTGCATTCCAATTAATGCATTATTACAGTAGGTTCAATCATTTTCCTTCATAGGTTCTACTCGCTTTTGTATAGTTAATGAAGCGCCATTGTAACAAAGATGGGATCCCTTCGCCATACAACCAGCTCAGTCTGCTTAGACAACTTACAAAGCAAATATCAACACTGAATTTCCACGCAAAAGCACAAAATCAACAACCTGCAATATCTCTGCAGTGCCGCGGAGCTCAGAGGAGCCCTTCCTCGAACAAAACCCATTCTTCGCACCGTACATCAAAGTCGAAGTATGCCTCGCGGACTATTTTCCTAAGTCGCCTGCAGGCTCTTCTGAATGCGGACCGATACAGGATGTTTGCATATACATCTTCATCGCTGTCAAATCTTTCCGAGAGACCGAACATTCCATTAGGCGGTGATGACCGGGGCTGTAAGACGACCAACGTGAGAGCATCTAGGCTGTCAAGGCTGCGTCTTGTCAAATTTGTCAACAATCTCGCCACAGGGTATTCACAGGCACGAATGACCAGATGCCTCAGTGAGTCGGGTAATCCTGGGTTGTCTGTCAAGAGGCACTGTTCGATCTCTAGGTGCTGGATGTTCGTAAAGAAGGCGAAGGACTCAATCTTCGGATAGTTGTCCCAGCGTAGCCCCCAATCGTATAAATCAAGATCGACAATGATATATTCAAGAGTTTCTCTTTGTGAATTGAGGATGGCAGCGAGTTCTAAAATTTCAACATGATTCGGAGTGTCAGAATCAATCTCGTAGATCAATGTTTTGAGACCCCTGCATGCGTATACGAGAGTTGTCAGAAGGTTTGTATTTAAAGACGTCCGAGTAAGGGAGACTGAAGCAATGTTGAGAGACTGCGATGGGAGCATGAAGACTGAATCACCAGCGCCTCGTACATCGAGGAGGGAAAGGGAAAAATATTCGAGGCACGACGAACTCAAGAAGAAGGATAGGATGTCTGCCTGAATGATATTCATCTGGCCCCAGGTTCCTCCAATATCGAGGCTCCTCAATCTAGACAGATACGGAGAAACCAAGTCTTTTTGTATCGAAGGCATATATGAAGCTCTCAGATCCTTTAAGTCTTCTTCTCCTAGCGTCAGATCAAGATGTTCAAGATTTGGTGTGCGAGTACACAGTAGTACAATCCAAGGAGGCACTTTTGCCCTCGCTATAGATGAGAGGAACACCGCCTTGTCGTTCACGCAAAGACATGAACCACATCAACTAGCAGAGCTATAGTTTCTGGTGTGAGTGTTTTCGACCACCTTTCGGGTGTCCGGGATTCCCAGGTTGAGGTGTTTATGATTATCTGACGAACGCATGATCCAAGATCGGGCCGAGAAAGCAGAGTTTGAGTAAAGCCTAGTAGAGAACACAGACCATCTTTGCTGCCGTTGGTCTTGTGGCAACAATGGCAATGAAGTCCATTCAGGTATGTTTTGAAAAGTTTCGGCTGAGCCAGCGCGTAGAGCTGGCGGGACGCTAGGCAAAGGGAGAGAAGGACTGGCCAGTGTTCAGCTGACTCAAAGAAGCCGATGATGAAGAGAAGAATTTCCACGGGTAAATCGAGAAGACTTCCCATTGTGAAAAAAGAGGGAGGGAAAGATGGATGCGTGGAGAGGGAAGGAGTAGGTGTGGGGGAAAAAAATGGCTGTCGGTGACGAGAAAATGGATGTCTGGGGACTGGGGACCTACATGTGTTTCGTTGCATCCTGCTCCCAGCCAGACACTCCCTGCCCTGCGTCATGCCTCGACGGTGTGTGAGCCGGTAGGTCAATCCGTACAGCTTTTTCATATCTTGAGCTGGGATCTTCCTCTTCTGAAACTGTCTTCCTCTCGTATGTACGCAAATTACTGCACAGCATAGCCTTCTTAGATGCAGGTCACTGTATGACCATGCAATTCCAGTGTGGTAGAATTGTTATCCTGCAATCTGGGTGACCATCAGGCTCTGAAGACTCAGAGTAAGCAACCTTTCGCCGTTTTGCCTCCTATCCCCAACATTTCCTTCTCTGGCTCCTCCGGTTTCTGCTTGGATGGCCCTCTTAAAGAGGCAAACGGGTTGTTAACGATACATCGAAAGAACAGAGCTGGCTTTACCATTCACAATAGATATATCTGAGACCGCATCGAATCTGTGGGCACGACAATCGGTATCCTGTGTTGCACGCCGAGCTTCTTTCGTTGGAGCCTTTGGAAACCCTGTGTCTCCTGCAACGAAGGTCGAGCGATAGTCTCCCTTGCTTGTCAAATCGTTACTACTGCAGACCCGGTACTGTTGTGCAGGTATTATCTCAGGCTATGCCTTCGGACTCTGAATGATAACATATGAACCTTCTATAGCAGCAGGTGGCGCAGAAACTTGATCAGACCCGGAAAACATGAACGACCTCAGGTACTTCGTTCGCTGTTGAAGACTTTCGATTTCCAAGCATCCGTAACAACATGCTCAGAGCAAGGAAATTTTGAACACCGATATAGTCTGAGCCATTCGAGGGGAGGTTTATTATTCAATGCCTATTGTGCTTCCTCTTGAGCTCTGAGCCATCCATTTCTTGCTCTACAACCGATGTTGGTCTTTCTGGAGACCCTGAAACTATCTCTGGAGCTGAGAAACTGCTGCGGTGAAGGTTAGCTTGGACATAGTCCATTCCACATTGGTCTGCTTTTGGAACTTCCTGCATCATCTAGATAACCACTGGTGAGCACGTCGAACAAAAGCTGTGGTATCAGCAGATTCCTATTCATAACTATCGTTGGGCTAATGGAACGACTCTCAGTGCGCAGAATATTGTTGAAGATGGGCATAGGAATCCTAAATTAGGATGGGAAACTAAATATAGGCTGTTATTTCCTAACAGGAGGGACTAGCCTATGGGTAGGGGTCACAGGTACAGCAGTTTCCAAAGGTTCAAGAGGCCGCAGCAGGCACTTCACTAATCTGAAAACGTTCTAGCATCCAACTTCTTTAAAGCATCATTGCGACCCATGTTAATCAGGAGCTCACGCAAGGGCTCATTGCCGTCAATCACCTCATCACTGCGCTTCGGTGTTTCAGTAGCAATCGCAGCTGGTGTCCCTGGACAGCCAATGTTTTGGCAGCACCGGCCGCCCTGAAAACCCTGGTTCAAGCAATCCCGGAAGCAGTCCCCATCGTTGCCCATGGAACATGAGCTGCGGTTGTTGCACTGAGCGGAGACTAGGGTGGCGCTCAGCGGGATGGTAGCGAGTATGTTGGTGGAACGCATTGTATTTAATATAGTGTTAGTCTGGTAGGAGATAAAGAGACTTAGAAGATGCACCTTGATTGCTTCTGAGAGGGTGAGCTTAGTAGAGTATATTCGCTGCTTATCTTTATCAGGTGAGAATGCTGTGCGTGGTTGCAGACTTGATGTGCTGCCTTTATTATACAACTCCATATCCCTTCAACTGTCGGCAAGTGTTGAATTGGAAATTAAGGATTCAGCACTGCCAGCTTGACAGAATCAGACCGTACATCAGATTCCGGATTGCATATGATTTACTATCGGTAAAGATCTCGGAAGACAGTAGTATTGACCTTTGCGATAGATGCTTACCTCCAGCTGTTTAGGGTAGAAATACATGTATTTTTATCTTCAATCCTTCAGGTAACTGCTGTCACAGCCAGACGCTACCGACACAAACGGTTGGAGAAAAAGTAGCTCAAATTAGAGTTTTGTGGAAATATAATACCACTAGGCCAAAAAGGCTTACATATCCATAATCTTTTTAACTAAATATTGTAACAAGTTTACGCATTTCCCGGTCCAAGCATCTTGGCAATTGTGACAAGCGGCGTGACACACTCCTCTCTTATGAATGGCCAGTTTTTCTGGGCTGCCAAGGAACCACACCATAAGGAGTAAAATAGGTATAGCTTGTGAATTGATGCTTAAAGGGAGGAGAGGTACGGCGATATCAGTATCTCTTCATGCTCTATTGCCCACTGATTACTCGCACATATCTGGTTAGAATAGAAAAAGGATGCAGCTGCCGCCGCCATTCTCGCGCTACCTTTCTTCGCTCCGCGCATTGAACCAGCGCGTACAAGAGAGGGCGGCTTCTGAGCAACATAAAAAAAGACTTTCTAGCCGATTGAGCGATGTGTTCTTACGAACATGGCATCTAGGGTTCACAGCTTTTGGAGGGCCGCCGGTCCATTTCCAGATCTTTCACGAAAAGTTTGTCGAGGGCAAAGGAGGACAGGAGAAATGGGCGGATGAGCAAACAGTTAGTGCGGAACCCAGCGAAGATGGGTACAATAGGCTGATCGGAATGACCTTGTAGTACCAAGAACTATTTGCCATCTGTCAAGCTCTTCCCGGGCCTGGAAGCACGAAGATGCTTTTCTGCTTGACTTTACTGCATGCAGGCTTCATTCCAGCTGTATTTGCTTTCCTTATATGGAGGTGAGTTCTCGACATTATTCTGTCTTCCACGCATCATTCGAGGCGACGCGCAACGAACGGCGCAGCTAATCTCTAGTCTAGTCTTCCCGGAGCAGTTGGCATGTATGCACTCTCCCTCGGTGTACAGAATATCAACGATGTTCTGCCGGAAATTGCATATGCATTCCTTTCTGGCCTCAATGCTTCCACTGTGGGAATTATTGCCCTGGCAGCCGTCCAGCTAGCAGAAAAGGCAATAAAGGACAAGCTTACCCGCATTCTAGTCATCTTCGGCGCTTGTGCCGGCCTGTGCTACAATGCTCTTTGGTACTTTCCGCTTCTCATGGTTCTTGGTGGTCTGTCAGTCGTCACATGGGACGGTTGGATGAGCCAGTATATCCGTAAAACCAGTGCTAAATGGAGACGACGAAACAGCCACCCCGAAGAGGCAAGGCAGGAAAATGGCGTTCATAATGAAGTGGAGCTTCAAGAGCAACAAGATCGCCAGACTCGCAGCACTCCTTCTAATCAAGGCACCGTACGGTCACGGAAGTCTGGACAGGCAGCATCTCTCCCAGAAACTGCTTCTGATGCGCAAACGGAGTCGTTGGAAGTCAGCGCTTCTCATGATCATATCATCCGGATCCGTGTCGGTATCACGGTCTGCGTCGTCTTCTTTGGTACGTTCCTCCTTTGCGCTCATCCTCCAGCTTTTGATATCTAGCCATGAGCCTTACTGACCACCATCTCAGCCTCCTTTATTGCAATCCTGGTAGCAAGAGGGGTCATCAATCACCCACCACTTGCCTTGGACTTGTTTGCCAACATGTATCTGGCCGGAACAATTATCTTCGGAGGAGGCCCCGTGGTGATTCCTCTTCTGCGTTCTTACGTTGTTGATCCTGGCTGGGTATCCGGCAGAGATTTCCTGATTGGCCTGGCTCTTATTCAAGCATTCCCTGGCCCCAACTTCAATTTTGCGGTCTTCCTTGGAGCCCTCGCGCTTCAGAAGTCCCAGTTCCCGACTGTATTTGGCGCTTTCCTTGGCTACATCGGCATCTTCCTGCCCGGTATCACATTAGCAGTCGCTGTGCAGAGTTTCTGGAGAGTGCTCCGTAAGAGAAAGTGGGTTGTCGACTGGCTTAGAGGAGTCAATGCTGCTGCCGTGGGCCTGGTCTTCACTGCTGTATACAGGCTGTGGGAGATTGGATATTTGACACCCCAGGCCAGTAATGGTCAGAGTCTTGCTCTTGAGCCATGGTGGGTCGTTGTTGCAACAGTTACCTATGCGGAGCACGCTTGGTTCAAGGTGCCTCCAGCGATCGCGATCATCATTGGCGGTATTTTGGGTCTCTGCTGGTATGGTGCTGTTGGTCGTTAACTCAGCTTTGCCTAAAGATCAAAATGGAATATAATAGTATAGCGCGAATATGGGTACGAAGAAAGCCGAGAGGGACGGATAAAAGTAGTCTTCGCATATTCTTTGTTTGATACAAGGTGAATCATTCCAGTGTGATATTACTCTACGCAATTGAGTGTTCTTGGTCAGAACTCACAAGCCTTTTGGATTTGCTGTCTGCTCTAGATTTTTGAGACACAGTAATGCATATGGCATCCTACAACCAGGGTGGAGCAACCAAAGCAACGGCTACAAGGCGTTTAATTGGACCCAATGTTCGTCCCTCCCTTGTCTCAATCTTCAGGCGTAGGCCTACGTCAGCGAATGTACTCTGGACGAGCCCTTGACATAGTGTATCTCCTAACAGTGTCCTGCCTCCTTCGATGCGAGTTTGGTTCCCTCGTGGTGTGACTGAAGCGCGAGTCCCCCGCTGATCTTCTTTGTCACAGCCCTGATTCCTTCCTCGATGATATCAGGATCATTCATAGACATCCAGGGGATGCAGCCATTATGATGACGCAATTCTGCATCGAGGAGGTATAGGCCTAGTCCGGGCTGCTTTGACACTCGGGTCACTTGTTGTTGGAGGTCACCCATGTTCTTTAAATGCTTCGCATGTTTTCGCAAGAAGCGGGACTCAATCGCGTTCAGTAAGGCGGTATCTTGGCATTTCTTTGCCAAAGTACACAACTTTTCCAAGTCCACGAAAAGCGTTCTCTGGACATTGAAGGCCTCCCGACAAGGGCCAACAGGCTCGACGGGTGAATCAGGCCATTCGCATTTCGGCGCCTCAATGTTTGTTGGCTTACACCGTCCTCCGCGGCTGATTAGATATTTCTCTAGCCATTGCATATCGATCAAGCACTCCTTAGCGCTCCTTTCCCAGAGCCTGATTGGCGAGATGCAGTCAATAATCCAGTCTCGTAGGCCACACTCCCAACCTAGGGAGGAATTATTAGGTGACATACATGGCAAATCCGTGCAGAGCAACGTTGGCTCGCGAACAGTCTGCTGCGAGCTTTCGATAAAAGATCCAGCTCCTCAATTCTTCATGAATATGGCCTCTAACAGACTGTGAAATATAAGCCTTGGGTTTTCAGAATGGAAGTGGAATGATAGTAATCTAGGATCTTTCAATGGACACGGATTTACCTCTTCTAGCTCGTTCGTAAATGTAGATGGCCGTAGCCATTGATCAAGGTCATGGCCCGAGACTTCAGAGATGATCGCCCTAGCTTGTTCAGACATGACTGTTGGGGTGAAGAAGTTTGTCGGTTCTATTCTAGATGCAATGCTTCGAGAATACCCAAAAGCCTGAACATCTTCAGTACAAGACGGAAATGTGGGAAGCATTGCAGTCTTGATATATGTCCCGTCACGGAAATGTACCCCCGAATCATCATCATGACATATAGTCCACGTATCGTGAGTATATATCATCTACAATACTTGCCGGCCATAATTAGGGAGTTGGAAAGCTCTAGTGAGGATGGCTCACAGCTAAAAGAGCCATCACAGTAACGTAACCGTTCCGTGAGAATGGTTGGCTGAACTCTGAAGCCGCTCAATTCAATGCCATTCTTTTCCAACCCGAAGAACGGACATCATCTCCATTTGTAGAGAGCAGCAAGAGAAGAAGGACATGTCGGAATTCGACTCCGGTATTCGGTTTCAGTGATGCAATAAGGTGCAAGCATTGAAACAGAGAATGCTAAACGTCGCGTACGAGTATGCATTCCCATCAACTTTGCAGTAGCGCCTGGTCTGAATTGACCCCATTCTCTATATTCAGTTTTCTTTAGAGATCGCTTTTTGGTTCAGGATCAACCATATAACATCCCGTAGGGCGAACTCCTTCTGACTTATGAATATCCTTCAGCTGCACTCTTTGTTTGGTCATTCTTAAGCTTATGATGCATTGCTACCTGAATCAACTTACTGCGCGGGTCCAGCAGTTCAAAGTCAATTCAGCACATCAAGCTTGACGCTTGCTTCAGAAACTCAAATGAGCTTAGCTGGTTGCTCTTCTCTAAGATCTAAATCAGCATAGAGCTTGACGCCATCAAGATACCCCTCCCGATATCAGCAATGACCGTGGTAACGAGGTAGCAGTCGATAATGAGCAGTTGTGTCTGCCTCCTGCAGCGGATCAGTATGATGTTGAAAACAAATTGCACGACCTCTCTACTCCATACTATCCTACTACGCTAGAAATGGGTGTTTACCTTATCACTTAACTATCATTCTTCGTATGATGTCACAGCACCATTGAATTGGAATAAGGGCGGTGAAATACGGCAGTATCAAACAAACAACCATAAGGCTTTTTAACTATCATGTTTTGGAGCCCCCCCAAGATTCCCTCCGTGCACTTAATATCTGTTACATCTTCTTGTCTCGCAGCGGCACGACCGCTTACTTACCTCTGATTGATGACCTC